CAAGCCCCCCCCCCCCCCCAATGCCTGGAGCCAAAGAGGCTGGCACACCTGTGTTTATACATATCTCAGAGTGGATACTTACAGCAGGCCAGGAATTAATCAGGGCATGAAAGGTTTGGAATACAGTTAACAAGTGTGGTCTAAGATTTCTTTTAAGCACCTAGACCACATGCCAGACCACAGAAGGCAGCCTGCACAATCCCAAAGAATTGCTTTTATGGAGACCGCATTCTCTCAGCACAGTGCAAGTCGGGTGAGGTATCGACTCCAGGGGACATGTGAGATTTACAGACCCATCTGAGGTTTATGCTCCTAAGTCTCTCAGGAGGGAAGCTACAGGGGAATGTAGGGACGGTTCAAAGCTGCATGGCAGCCAAAGCACTCATGCTGGCACTTGGAGAGTGCCCAAGTGCCGGGTGGGTATAAACAGAGGAAAGTAGTGAGCCAGGCAGTCAGGCAGAAAGCTGTTAGCACTGAGTGGAGAGAAAGCAGAGGAGGAAATAAAGGTAAAGGCAAATTTATGAGATGGGAATAATCAACAAGCCAAAAGCTTGTTTCCACAAATATTAATAAAGTAGAAAACCTTGTAGCCCATAGGATGAAAACAGAATAAACCTGCAGATATAACAGAGCTTTATAAGCCCTCCGGGGGAAGTGGGGCAACTTACTGTGGCAACCTGGATACAGAGAGAGACAGGCCCAGCATAGGAGGCAGGGGTGAGGGCCAGTGATTGGGTGTGCAGAAGGAAAGTTCTGGAGTGATGAGAGCCCCTGGCCCTCTCCCTCTTGCTGCAGGGCTCCATCTGGCTGTTCTTTTCCTTAAATGACAATGATTCTTGGACCTATTCTTCCAGACTGACCTCGGGGTTAGGGTTCAGGTGTGGAGAAGAGTAGGAGTAAAGCTCAGCATGCCTATAGGGGATGTTGCCACCTTCCTTGTGGCGCTGTCAGACCTCCTAACAGCCCATACCACCTACTAAGGCAGCTTAGAAATGTGGTTTTTCCTCTGTGCTGTCCCTGCCACTGACATTTGGGGACTCAACACAGAAGGCAGCAGGTGATAGCAGGCATGCAGTCTCTGTGGTGGCCTGCTCACGCCACCGAGGAAGAGGCGTGTGCACTGAGGTGCACCTCCTGCGCACGCACACACTGGGGAAGGCAGGTCACATCAGCCCTCGATGGGAATTGACCTTGCAAGCCTGTGGAGTCACAGCAAATGGGACCAAAAAGGAGCAAGCAAAAGGGATTGTGTGATTTATTTCTCTTACTTAACAAATTTGAAGCAAGGCTTGGGGGTGTGGCTCAGTGGTAGAGCATCTGCCAAACACGCCCCAGGCAATACATTCTATTCTCAGCTCTGGGGGAAAAAAATGGAGGAAATAGCAAACATCATATAATGACATGATGTGAAAGAAACAGATGATTGCTCCTCTGTTATAAATTTTCTCAAAATGTGCTTTTAAAAGTGATCAGATGCAAGCATTTATGGATAAGTGTATTCAGAGTAGTAACAAAAATCGAAACGTACATTATCTGACAGGTGAAGGGTGGCTAAAAGAGAATGTCATGAAGCCATGCCGAGTGTGGTTCTGGACAGTTGCTGATGGCAGAGCAGCAGGAGGCAGATGGAAACAAGGATGGCGTCTGACCTGCCTGCTGTATGTGTCTGTGTTTGGTTTGAAGACTTTTTTTTAAAATCTGTGAATCATTACACCATAAGTAATTATTCCCAGCAGTAATTATTCCTAGGTTCAAAGATGATGACAGTGTAGCCCTGTTCACATGCTCTATGTTCAGTATGGGATATGTTTTGTTATCAGATGCCCGTGTTTTAGAACATCCTCAGCACTGTTTCCCTCCAGCTGTCTCCCGGGGAAGCATAGGCTCTTTGCTTTTGTTTCTTCAAAAGTTGGGGCAGCACTAGGAGCCCCCAAGCAGGGGTCCTGAAACAGAACCACCTTCTTGTCTGGGGCTTTCCATTGATAGTGATGGTACCTGGGGGAGGATGCAGGGTCGCACAGACCCTTGGAGACCAGGGCTGGTCCTGGGAAGCTTTACTAGGGCAGAAGGCCTTTGCTCAGCCCACAAACTAAACAGGTTGAGGCTTGCATTAGTCAGTGCTTATAAAGAGCTTACAGGGTTGCACTGAGGTTCTTCAAAACACTGTACATGCTCTGAATCAGATTTAATGTAGGACACAGAAATTTACAAGATTGGCCTACAATCTTGCCACCCACGGAGTCAGATGTAGAAGAGTGCAAAAGATCTGTCTGTGTGCTAGAGATCCGAAGAATCCAGCCAAAGTCCTGGAGCACATGGCAACATCCCGTGTGAGTCCACATCAGGCCAAAGGATCTGCCACAGAAGGCTGAGGGGTCTGTGCCGGGAGGTTGAAGGGTCAGTGCTAGACACTAAAGAATCTGCACTGGCAAGGTGAAAGGCCAGTGTTGGAAGCTAAAAAATCTGTGCCAAAAGCCAGCAGAGGAAGCCCAAGCAATAGCAAAAACTGGAGCTCCTCTGAAGAAAATCAGCTCAAATCCTTCCCCATCATTCTTTTATACTGTTCTGACCACAGTCCTCCTTAAAGTGAGCCTTCCATGCCCAGCACCATGCTGACTCAATTCATCTGAGCATTTCCCTCTCAAGTTGACAATTAAGCACCACAGGGCTGTGTTCCTGCTGTTCTCAGCATGGACCTTGGGCTTACTTGCAGCTTTCATGTCAGATTCTGCAGGTGCCTGCCTACTCTGGTACTCTAGCCGTTTCGTACCCAGTGTGTCACTAGCCAGCCCCTGCCAAGGGCCTACCCCGCACATTTCCTCCATTTGCCCCTGCGTGACCCACAGAGCCCAACCCCTTGCCTGTCCAGGAGAAATACCTGCAGTGGGCACTATATTCACCATGCTTGGGGCCTCCAGCTGGGCTGCTTAGCTTGTAACTGTGTGCTCCTTGTAAGTCTTGGAGGAACAGTGTCACCACTCACCACAGGTTCCATGAAGCCACACACAAGTTCAGCTGTGCCCTCATGTCTTCTCCTGGACCCACAGGCCAACAGCTGAGCAGGCTGTTGACCCTGTGAACCCAGCTGCATGAGCAGGATCCCCAAGCCTGTTTACCATGTCACCTCCTAGCTTCAACTCAGAGCCCATGGATTGTCCTGGAGGTGTGGAGGGGCAGGGAGAGATGGGTGCAGTTGTAGGGCATGGGGCTGGTGTAGATCTGGCATAGGAGTGTGGCTTGGGAGCTGATGAGCAGTATGGTGTATCTAGGCACAGGTCAGCTCTGATTTCTGGTCAGACGCAGAGGAGTGAGGTGCTTGAGCCAGGTTAATAAGCCAACGAGAAGGCATGGTTGGTGGGGTAGGCATTGGTGTGGGTACTTGCCACTGAGTAACCTCTCCACCTCCGTTGCTCACTCGCAGGTGACCTGAGCATCTCTGCAGACCGCCTGAGTGAGAAGCACTCCCCCAATGACTTTGCCCTGTGGAAGACCTCCAAGCCAGGAGAGCCATCCTGGCCATGCCCCTGGGGGAAGGTAAGTGAGTAACTGAATAGGCATGGGGCTGAGGGTGGCAAGAAGAGGCAGTATTACAGGATGTTGTCATCAGTCATACGTAAGACGTCTCCCTGAGAGGCAGTGCTGCAGGTTACGGATGCTGCCACTGGGCCAGAACCTGGTGTCACCTCAGTATAGAGCTGCAGGGTCCAGGAGACCCGAAGTCACAGAGATTTCCTGGGTATCTGGATGAGTCGATGGTTCTCCTAAGATTTCAGTTTTCTGGTCTGTGAGGTGGGGTGTGGTCAGATTCAGCTGTCTCCAAGGCCCCTTAGTTCTGATGTAATGTGACTCTTAAGTTGAGTATTCCCAGCTTCAGAAGGCAAGGTAACCCTGTGACATTCCTGTGACTGCAGTCACCACTGCAGAGTACTGTGGGAAGGGATATGGCTAGCTGCCACTTTCTGTTTTTAATTAGTATGTTTGTGATACATAGTAATTCTATTCATCTTGGGAAATTGGTAAATACACATACCACATCTTTATCATTTTTACTTCCCCTCTTCTACCTCGTGCCCTCCCCCATCCTCACTTTTAAGTGCTAGAGCTTCTGGGAGAATTCCTAAGCTTCAGCAAAGATTTGGCCTGCAGGAGACTGGTATCAAACTCCATGAGAGGTTCCTCTTTAGTCTTTCTATGCGTGGATTTGAGTTCCCGTTCCCCTAGTGTTTAGAAGGCTTAGGGCTTATAATTTGGAGCAGTGAAGGCCTGAGCAGGTAGCAGGGCTGGTCAACAGGGTCCTTCATGTTTCCCCAGGGTCGTCCAGGATGGCACATCGAGTGCTCTGCCATGGCTGGCACACTCCTCGGGGCCTCCATGGACATTCACGGGGGAGGATTCGACCTCCGGTTCCCACATCATGACAATGAGCTGGCACAGTCAGAGGTAAGTAAAGGCAGTGGTTACCTCCCTAGATGCAGAGCACAGTGTCCTTGCCATGACCCTGGAGAGAAGTCTCGGCAGCCCTAAGGAAAGGCCTTCTTGATAGAACTTGTTACCAATACCAGGGTTTGTGGAGAATTTGAACCTTGATCATTTCATCAACTTTTCACTGTAACAGCCTGGCCTTTGACTGCAGACAGGCTCACATTTCAGCCAGTTGTGTTACCTGCTGCCAGGTAACCTGGGGAAGTCCCTTTAAGCCCCACTTGCGCCACCAGGGAAAGGTGGCCCTTACTGCAAGACAGTGCACCCAAGCAAGACAAACAGTGCATTCAATGTCAGGACTCTCCTAGCAGGTGGGGACCCTGGTGACATTAGGTGAACCATCCTTCCTCTGTCTTTCCTCACAGGCCTATTTTGAAAATGATTGTTGGGTGAGGTACTTCCTACATACAGGTCACCTGACAATCGCAGGCTGTAAGATGTCAAAATCACTAAAAAACTTCATCACCATCAAAGATGCCTTGAAGAAGCATTCAGGTAAGCATGACTCCTCCCAGAGGCTCATGGGACCTCGCACAGATGCCCGATGAAGGTGGCCCCTTGGGGAGTAATGGTGTCTTGTGCTGTGTGCCCCCTCAGCACGGCAGCTGCGGCTAGCCTTCCTCATGCACTCCTGGAAGGACACACTGGACTACTCGAGTAACACCATGGAGTCAGCACTACAGTACGAGAAGTTCATGAACGTAAGTCCCCAGCTCTTGTGAGGTCGAGCACTGGCCACTGCCAGCACGAGGTACCTGTGGTCACTGTGATGGGTTGACATCCCATTCTTGTGACCAAAGCCAAGGCGTGGGTTGGTGCTAGTGGGCGCCATTTCTCTGAAACATGACACAGCTTTGGTAGAGTTTGAAGAGGCTCCATTTCTCCTGTGCAGAGCATGTGTCACTCTGACTGGGCTTCCTGCCGAACAAGTATCTTGCAGGCTGAAGTAGGAACATGTTTCTAACCCAACAAAAGAGCTCTCCCTTTCTTTTGGGTGGTCCTCTTATGAAATGTCTGTATTGTGGTTCTTCAGTGTCTGCCCAAAGTAAAATCAGTTCACGAGAACAGTTCATCCAAAATGTCCAGATGGAAATGTTGCCTTTTCTAACTTCAGGAGTTTTTCCTAAATGTGAAAGACATCCTTCGAGCTCCTGTGGACATCGCCGGGCAGTTTGAGAAGTGGGAAGATGAAGAGGCAGAGCTGAATAAGAAGTATGGTGGGACCTTTCCTGTGGGGCCATGAGCATGAGCACATTCTGCCCAGGTGGCGGAGGAGGAGGTCAGCACTGTCACACTCTGCAAGGCTCGCGGAGTGTGCTGCCTCTCCTGGTGGACTGCTCCAGCTGTTGAACTTGGTGAACTTCTGTCGCCTAGTGTCAGTTCTGATCATTTGCATTCCTTCTCTCCCTCGCTCAGCTTTTATGACAAGAAGATGGCAGTACACAAAGCCCTCTGTGATAATGTTGACACCCGCACTGTCATGGAGGAAATGCGGGCCCTGGTCAGTCAGTGCAACCTCTATATGGCGGCCCGCAAGGCTGTGAGGAGGAGGCCCAACCGGGCTCTGCTAGAGAGCATTGCTCTGTACCTCACCCATATGCTAAAGGTAATCCAGGTCCCTTGTGTGGAAACAGGCCTCTGGGCGGCACTTGGGTCTGCTGTACCCTGCCTGTACAGTGAGACATCTGCCTGGTGCAGAATCTGTGCATTAGAGATCAAAGCTGTAGAACCCTTTACTCAGAGCGATTTCGTTGCCTCCACTTCTCTCTGCTCCCATTTTACAGTTTAAAAAGCAAAACCAGTGATGAGGCCTTGACCAGGAACACATCTTGTGTAGAATCACTTCCTGTACAAAACCACCATCCAGGGGCAGTGCTCCTGAGGCCAGGGGGTCCTTGGGGTGATTTCCTGCCTCATTGTCCTCTGTCCCCATTCCTGGCCTCCCATAGCTTTAGTCTGGAAGAGGGCAGAGCGGCAAGCCAGGGCTTTTCGTGGATGGCTGAAGTACCTCAGGATGGGTTTCTGGGACCTGCTGCTTTTTCCGTCTCATCCCTGATTTGGATGTTTCCATAGCTATGTGTGCTGTGTGCTGTCTCACCTCTTCATCTGCATGCAGTTTAAGTCCTGTTTGTTTCTTCTAGATCTTTGGGGCCATCAAAGAGGAAAGTTCCCTGGGGTTCCCCGTTGGAGGGCCTGGGACCAGCCTAAATGTGAGTAGAGAAAGCCCTATTGGTTCCCCTCAGGGGGCCTCAGCTCAGCTGTTGCTGAATGTGACCTCTTCCCCACCTACTGTGCCTGCTGTGGGGCCTCTACCTCCCACTCTTCTCTGGAAGCCCCCAAGAGTCCTGCTCCCCCGTCAACCCTGTGGACACACGGAGGCCAACTTGGGGTCCCTTCCTCATGGACTCTTAAGCCTGCGGTTGAATGTCAGCTGTGAGCCTGAGGGTGTGGAGAGTGGGTGGGCGCCCTAAATATGAATGTCAGCCTTGGGCAGGACAGCCTTATCCTTGCTGGAGTGAAGGTCCTGTGCTGTCACATGAGTTCAGTCACCAGCTCAGAACACCAGCTGGACAGGTCACTTCTCACCCTTGATCACACCTCGGCCATGTGGTGGTATGAACTCGCATTCTCAGATTTCACCAAATGTACAATCATCCCGGGTGTCCACCAGGGAGGGTTCCAAGATCCCTGAGGACACCAAAACCCATAGATACTCAGGTCCCTCATAAAAAAGGATATTGAATTTACGTAGAACCTATGCACATCCTCCCATAGACTGTAAATCATCTCTGGATTATTTGTAATACCTAATGCAATTCAAATACATGGGAAGGATTACGTGGTTTAGGAAATAATGGCAAGGAAAAGCAGTCTGAGTTCAGTACAGAAGTGACACGACTTTTCCCCAAGTATTTTCGGTCTGTGGTATGTTGGATCCTCAAGTGTGAAACCTGTTAACACAGCCAACTGTACTAATTTGTGGGGGTGTTTTTTGTTTTGTTTTTTTGTTTGTCTTTGTTTTTGTTTTTTGGTACTGGGGATTGAACTTGGGACCTTGCACCTATGAGGCAGGTGCTGGAACCACTGAGCTAAAGCCCCAGCCCTGTACTACTTTGTATTCAGTAAACATGTCATGATTCAGGCCCCATGTACACAAGGCACAGAGCTTATACTGAGTAGGGCACACACACCATGCATCTCTGCCTCACAGGGCTGGGCAGCCCTATGAGACTTAGACCAGACCATGTCTGATTTTGATACCAGGCCCAGGGCCTCAGCACAGCCCCAGCCCCCTGCTCCGGCAGCTGCCAGCAGAAGGCAGGAGGTGGTCATGCTGGAGACCCCCTTGGGAATGGGCCACACTTGTCTGCTGTTGGCTTCTCTGTCTGCAGTGGTACATGACCAACATGAACTTCAAGTGTGCTCTGCTAGTAAGGACAGCCTGCTGATAGATCTCCTTCTGCCCTCCCCCTGGAGAATGCGCTGTTTTTGACTAGAACGTACATGTCAATATTTAAATGTGTTACCTGCTATTATAAAGAAAGCAGGAGCTCAGTACCAAGTGAAAAGGCAAAGCCGTGTGTGTGTTAGTGGATACTGAACCCAGGGCCCCATGTATCCTAGGCAAGTGCCTTTTTTTTTTTGGCTTTTTGAGGCAGGGTCTCACTATGTAGTTCAGACTGCTCTGGAACTCACAGTGTAGCCCAGGCTGGTCTCGAACTCACAGCGATCCTCCTGCCTCAGCCTCCCAAGTGTTGGGATTACAGGTGTGCACCACCATGCCCGGCTGGCAAGTGCCTTTTTAAATTTTGAGATAGAGTCTCATTAAATTGCTCAGGCTACCCTATACTTGGGATCTTCCTGCCTTAGTGTAGCGTGTAGCCCAGGCTGGTCTCGAACTCACAGCGATCCTCCTGCCTCAGCCTCCCAAGTGTTGGGATTACAGGTGTGCACCACCATGCCCGGCTGGCAAGTGCCTTTTTAAATTTTGAGATAGAGTCTCATTAAATTGCTCAGGCTACCCTATACTTGGGATCTTCCTGCCTGGACCTCTTAAGTAGCTGGGATTACAGGCATGTACCATCACACCTACCTTCTATGTACTTTTTTTTTTTAGGTCAGTGTTGGGGATTAAACCTAGGGCCTTCCACATGCTAGGCGAGTAGAGTACTCTGCCACTCAGTTAACTCCAGCATCAGTAAAACCTTTGTACACCCTGGCTTCCTGAAGATGAGGAGTGTGAGGGGCCGCACCCACAGTGGTGCTACAGACACCCCCAGCAACCTTTCCAAGAGGGAGACCATCTGTGCGATGAGAGGCCTGCCCACCTCTTACCCTGCCCAAGCCTTTTCTCAGCCTCAGAGCTGGTTGTGGGTACCATGTTTTTTCAACTGTATGTGTACCTATTTTAGTACCTTTTAGGAAGAAAGCCCACACAGCTCCCTGTTATCTTGTGCAAATGATAGTAAGGTATTTATTTTCTTTAAAAATGAAAACCAAAACACACCTCCAAGGTTTAAATCACTCTGCCTTTGAACTTGGGAGGATGTCTCTAATCTTAAATGGGGCTGTGGCCCAGGCCACCTTCCCACACACTGTACCAAGCATTCCCTGTGGAGTCACTTTCCCTTCCCTTTCTGAGTAGCTCCTAGAAGGAAGCAGCCACGCGAGGACTGGGTAAGCCTGTGAGGCTAAGTGTCCTGCACTCTGCAGCTCACACTGGGTGAAGTTCATGGATTGACTTCCGAGTCCAAAGTACCGTTAGGGCCAAAGAGATGACCCCTGGTCCTAACTCCTGTCCGTGCTGAGCTCTTGGCCACATGCCCCATTGTGGTCACTCAAACCACCAGAGGTCATCAGCCCCAGGTCTCCTTGAGACACACAGACCCCAAAGCCATCCCAGAGCCCCCATGGCAGTGGGATGAATGCCTCCCCCTCTGCTGTACTGAGCTTTGCGTGACTCTTGCAGTGTAGAAGGAGGTAAAGGCCTAAAACTGCTTTGGAAGCTGAGGGCCTCCTTGCAAGGATGCAGGCTCAGAGGAGGACTGGGCCTGAGATGTTTGGCTCATACCACCTGGGGTGTCGAATTAATCTTTAATTTTGATTATGGAGCTGCTATGTAACTTAGAGGTAAGGGAGCCCTTGCTCAGAAGGCCAAAGCCTTTTTGCCCCTAGTAGAAAGATAAATGTACTTTAGGAGATGTTCACAAACTCAGACTCCCAGGTGAGCTTTGCCCTCACCAATTCACCTTTTCCAGTGTGGATCTCTGTCCTGCGTGTTACTTACAGGCAGTTATTCCTCATGCAGATGTTGCAGTGCGTGTGAATAGTAAATGGACACAGTTGAGCCTAAACACACTCGTATGTGATCATAAAAGAGACCCAAACACAGCCCAACACCATCACCATAAAGACGGGTTTCTAACATCGTGAAGATGTGTGACCTAAGGAGAGTGTGTCGTGTCAGCAGTGGACTGATTGGCTGCTGAGTACATCCTGCCAGAAATTGCTCCCTGACCCACATCACCCCCAGGTGACGGCCACCCCGAAGTACATGTCACTCGCATACCTCATGTGGACTGTGTGTCAAGGTTGAGGCCCTGAGGTGCCAGGCACAGCAGCAAGGCCCATGCTGTCTCTGCCCTGTGATCTGACTGAACTATTAGGTATTTAGTTGTCAGTGCAGGCCATGAGCCACTCTAAATGAACCAAACCCATTCTTTCCACAGCTCGAGTCCACAGTCATGCCCTACCTGCAGGTGCTGTCAGAATTCAGGGAAGGTGTGCGGAAGATTGCCCGGGAAAAAAAAGGTGAGGCTGGTTGCCCAGAGAGCAGAGTGACTCTTCCTTCCTGTCACACTGTACCCAGGCCACTTGCCCTCAGCACTATAGATGGTCTGTGGGACCATCCTGCATGGGCTGCCTGTGTACTGTAGGGTGTTTAGCAGCATACCCAGCAGGGCCCACCGTGTCCCACTTGCCAGTTCTACAGCCACAAAGGTGTCCTGCGGGACGTAAGTGCTCCTAGTGAGAGCATCATGTGACTTAGGATGGCTGGCGCTGGTCTAGCATTGGATGTGAGGGGCCAAGCGTCTTTGCTTGTTGTTCTGAGGAGAGGCAAGATGAGGGGCCCTGCAGCCAGCCCAGCCCTACACTTGCCCTTGGTTAGCACTGGGGTTTATTTCTGCTCCTGGTGACCCCAGGCTGGTGCACTGAAGTGAGGTTTGTCTGCTGCTCAGCTGAGTTGGTTAGAGCTTTGGAGGTCCCCCCAGGAATGCCTTGTTAACTGTGCTTAGCCATTCTTTTATCCTTTGACATTGCAAAGTGTGTTTGGTGTGAGAATTGGAGAATGCTAGATCTGAATGTTTTGGCTTTGGGGACAGTTTTTAAACATTGTTAATAGCAATAAGCATCATCAGGCAGATCTTTGACTTCTTACTCTGAGTGATTCTGGAGCAGTGTATAGCAGTACAGCTGTTCCTATCATTGAGGATATGGGGTGTGCTGGGCCCTGGCCAGCTGCTTCCCTTGTGATATTACTAGAGACAGGACCTTGCCTGACCTCCCACTGGGTTGGTGGCAAACACTGTGATGCCCTGCTGCTCCCCTACAGGATCCCAGGGTCCTCTGTGTAGTATGAAGTCAGACCTAGAGTTCTTCGAGACCTGGTTGTGCAGAGCCTGTCATAGGGGTCACAGTAAGGCAACAACCAGGTGGGACACTGTCCAAGCAGGGCAGCATCCTGGTGGATGTACCAGTGGTGCAGGGGGCAGAGCACCTGGAGGAGCCCTGGGGAGCAGCTGCACCTTGAGAAGGGATTAGTAGGCCTGATTGGGAGAAGGGCTTGGAGAGAGACAGGAACCAGGTCCCTGGCCTGCACTGGGGAGGGGACCATAGAGCTAGAGGCAAGATGGCAGGAGAAAACCTGGGGCAGGAGGAGCTAAGTCCTTGCTCCATAGGCCAGCAGCATTGTACAGAACATGGTGTGAGAAGGGTGATGGGGCATGGTGTGGTTAGTTAATAAAAGTTCAGTGGTAGACACTTGGTGCCTGCTTTCCACACCTGTACCCCTAAGTGCTTCAAAGCACTTGAGCCAATTTAAAAGAGCCTGATTAGGTCACTTGACAGTTTTGGGAGCACACACTTATTGACATCACTAGGGTTATGTGGCTATCCTCAGAGGCAGCCTGGGCCCTGTGAGAGACCTTGGAGCCTGACCCTGGGATCCAGCCTCCCAGGGTCACATGATGATGCATTGTGCATGTGACATGGACACATCACAGCCCAGCCCAGCAGGAACTCAGCCGATAGATCAGAGGGGCTCCGAGGGGCTGGCCAGGCTTCAGCTTCTAAATGGTGGTGCTGACCACCAGGGGCTTGCTTGGACACCAAGAGCACCACCAGTCAGCCATTCTTGCAAGTAGTTTCCTTTTGCTTTTTGTTGGCTTATGTTTTGCTTTCTTTTGTTCTTCTTCTTTCCTTTGTTTTGTTTTGTTTTTTATTAGTATATGTTTGTAGTACATAATGATCACATTCCCTGTGAGGAGTTGGTACATGTACATCATGTATTTTAATTCTATTTTCATCTTTTTCCTCCCCTCCATCCTTTGACCCATTCTCCATTTCAGAAAGATCTGTCTTCCTACTTCCTATTATCTATCTTTTATTTTGCTCTTTATTTATATTTTGGGTTTCTCGTATAAGAAAAATCATGTGATATTTAGGCATGTGTGATTGATTTATTTCATTTAATAGTATGTTCTCAAGGTACATCCATCTTCCTACAGATGATTCAAATGTATCCTTCTTTATGGCAGAGCAGTACTCCACTGCATATAAATACCACATTTTCTTTCCCCATTTATCTGTTGTTGGGCAGACATATAGGCTGTTTCTAAAATTTAGCTATTAGGAATTGTGGTGCTATAAACATGAATATACATGTATTGCTGTAATATGATGTCTTTTTTTTTTTTTTTTTTCTTCCTTATTTTTGAGACAGGATCTCATTATGTAGTCCAGGCTAGCCTCGAACTCCTGGCAGTCTTCCTGCGTTAGCCTCCTGGATGCTAAGATATAGGTGTGTGCAACCATGCCTACCCTGCAATATGATGTCTTTAACTCTTTCTGGAAGATACCTAGAAGGGGAATAGCTGGATCAAGTGGAACTTCTAATTCTAGTTTTAGTTTTTTGAGGAATCTTCATACGAATTTTCATAACAGTTGTATTAGTTTACATTTCCATTGATGTTATAGAAAGGTTCCTTTTTTATTTAATAATTTCTTTAAAATTTTATCCCATTCCCCCCCAAAAGCGTTTGTCAAAAGCTTTTTGTGCATCTATTGAGGTGATCATGTAATTTTTGTCTATTTATGTAATGAATTACATTTATTAAGTTACGTATTTTGAACCATCCTTGCAACACTTCAGATGAAGCTTACTTGGTCATGATGTATGTTTTTTTTTGGTGATTTGTTACATCCTATTTGCCAGTATCTTTCTGGGGATTTTTATGTCTGTACATTAAAGAAATTGGCCTATGGCTCTATTTTTTGGTTAGGTCCTTTTCTGGTTTTGGAATCAGGGTAATGCAAGCTTCTAGGAATGACTTTAGGAGTACTTCTTACCTTTCTATTGCATTAAGGAACTTAAGGAATAATGGTGTTAGATCTTCCCTGACCTGGGCTTTTCTTAGTTGGTAGATTTTTTTTTTAATTACTGCTTCAATTTCATTATCTGTTTATCTGTCATTCGGGGTTTTTATATCTTCTTGGTTAAGTTTTGGGATACATACATATATATATATACATATATATATATATGTATATATATATATATACACACACACACACACACACATATACATACACATACATATATATACATACATATATATGAATATCCATTTCTTCTGGATTCTTCAATTTATTGGCGTTCAAGTTTGCAAAGTAATTACTAATAATCTTCTGAATTTCAGCAGACTCTTTTGTGAGTTCACCTTTTTCATATCTAATTACATTGATTTGGATCTTTCTTTGACAAGATTGGCTAAGTGCTTGTCTATTTTATTTATTCTTTCAAAGAACCAGCTCTTTGATTTCTTTTTTTTTTTTT